CAGTGATGGCATCTTCAAGGCAGCAACGACGAACGGAACTTGTCGGAGGAGACCAGTGGTGGCTCTCGGGCCCACGATGGCTCACATTTTGGGGTGCGTCAGTGGAGGCTACAGATGCGACTTCGATTTGGATGGTGAACGCGAAGGTGGAACGTCCAAAAGGGTTGGTTTGTTCAATCTAGCAAAAGATCGAAAATGTGTCCGTGTAAAGTTGGACTTGGAAAATGTCGATGAATTTGTATCTGTTCTGCATATGTGAGAATGATTATGATGGTGCTGTTTGAGAATTTGGAAGTGTAGAGAAATGGAAGAATGGAGAAGATTTGATGGGTGGATNCTAACATGTGTGTAAATCGTAGAGAGTTAAAAAGATTGTTGAGAAATGATAGTTTGATGACTTTAGTTGCATGAGGTCGATATTGTTTTGAGAGATGAATGTTATAGACCATATATAGAAAAGTGTATCTTAGTTTATAAATGACATGTTTATATATCCTATGCTTAAGAAGTGCATGAGGGTTACCTGAGAGTAATAATATAATTCTTGGAAAAAAAATAGTAGAATTTGAGTCTAATTTGAAAGGAGAATTACCCATATTTTATTGAAATTTAGAAAATTTTGAGAACGTAATTCTTAAAAGATGAGAGAATTGAAACACTCTATGTATTATGTTAACTATATTTAAATTTCTTATTTAAATATGATTTTTTAAGTAAATTGATAAATTTTGAAAAAAAAAGATTTTTGTAAAAATTAAAGGATGATTTTAAAGTGTCAATTAGTTCCTATTCTTGAGTTGTCTCGGTAAATTTGTGATCCCAACCACATGAACCATTGGATTAGGCTGCAATTTTTACATAATAGTATTAAAATATAGTTCTCTACTATGATCAATGGGGTTACAATTGAAGGTTTATGCTAAAAGAAATAATTCTCACATTTTAGTATAATAGTTAGGTCTCCACATATTATCTAGTTCTTTTTTATTCTTACTTCATTAAATGTTACATAAAGATGAAATTTTTATTATGAGTTGAGTTCATAAGATAGTATTTCATTTTGATCGTTGGGACTTCCATTTAGAGGTTTGTGGTTAGAGAAAAAAATTCATAGTTTAAACTAGTGTCACCTATTTTCTATTTCGGTTTACTTAACTATAGGACTTTAAATGAAAATCTCAACAATCGAAATGAAGTACTATCTCTTGTGAACCGGGTCATCTGTCTAATGGTTAATGAAGTAGGAATGAAATTTTTATCAAAGCAACTCAAAACTAGACACTATGTGGAGACCTAACTTTTATACTAAAATATAAAATTATTTTGCTGAACAGAAAATTTCATATTAATCCAATGGTTCATGAGATTGTGATATAATTTTACCAAAACAACTCAAGAATAGAAAATAATTAACATCTCAAAATCATCCTTTAATTTTTACAAAATCTTATTTTTCATAATTTATTAATTTACTTATAAAAATATTTAAATAAAAAAACTTAAATATAGTTAACATAAAAAAAAAGTAAAAAAGGACGTTATAGTGAATCATCCTTCAAAATAATTCCATGATACAAGTCACAAAATGCATTAATTTGACCTACTAAAAATGGAACGAACAGGAGAGAGACAAATTGATCTATCATGATTAAACAAGTTAAAGTTCCTAGTTACTCTCACCAATTTTTTTATTATAATTTAATTATTTTATTTAAAATATATACTTTTATAAAACAACACTTAATTATATAAATATTTTCCAAAACTCTAATTGATTAATTAATATTTCTAATTTAATAAATTAAAAAAATTACCTTTATATGTTAATTATATAATCAATAATTAAACTTGATTGAAAAATATTAATAATTTAAGCTATAATTTTATTATATATTATAATTTTAGTAAGTAGATTTTGTAAAGAGAATATTGAAATTTTACAGCACACCAAGTGATCTACTACTAATATATTTTGCCGATAAAAAAAATGAACATTGAAATTTAATAACAAAAATAAGAGAGGTAATTTAAAACACGCCCCCAATGAAGGGTATTTCAGCATTAATATCATGGAATAAAATAAAATTCATTGAAATTATTTGTATTTTTCATCAAAACTGAAAGACAAATTATTTATACTCGAGACGTGAAGGAATTATATTTAGGCAAAGGGACAAAATATTTCTTGCTAAGTAGATAATATGAAGGTCTCATGTTATTGCAATAGAGACTACAGTAATTTTCTACCACGATCAATCTCGTTGAAGTTAAATAGAATCACTATAAAAAAAATTCTTTAAATATTTAATACAACCAAATATTTGGAACTTGGATTTAATATCATAATTAAGCTATAACCATCTTATGTTATAATAGTAATAATTATAGCTATTAACTATAACATATATAATAACAAACATTTTATTTACTGAAACAATTTTATTTGATTAGAAAGAGATCGTTACTTCTACTTTAGACCAAAACGAAAATTGTCATTAATCAATATATTTAATCTTTACTTAAAACTGAACATACAAAAATCTTAAAATATTGGGATGTGAAAATAATAATTATAAATATATTTTATGTGTTATATGAACTATATCTTAATAACGTGGTCAATTATAAAATTGTTTTCTTTATATATAGTAAAATTATTAGACAAATAATACTCTATTATGTATTTAGTATATAACTGGGTTTTAATGCGTTTATATGATTTGATACTGATAAATTAATTAAAGGACACCAAATAAAGCTCAATTCAATTATCTAAAATCCAAGAAAATAAAATAAAAAATGGTTGGTGAAACTAAAATTGTGGAAAACACGTTAAGTAGTTAGTTGGTGAAAATGAGATAATGCAGTTCCCAGAAAAATGGAAACATTGAGAAATGGAGAGATAAAAAAGAAAAACGACATGTCCTTCATTGCAAATAACTTGTTATGTGTTCTCTCTCTTTTGGAAAAGAAACGGGACAAAAAGTTATGGTTGTAATAATTAATTATATTTAGTTTTATTCTTATTTAATAAAATAAATAAATTGAAGGTAAATTCAATTATTCTGTTATTCTACTTTTTTATCTTAATTTATTATTCCTTCTCATAGTTAAAAGGTTAGTTAGTGAAACTAAATCTAGTGCCATAATTTTCTTATTTGTGGGTCCTCAATCAATAATATAATCACAATAATAATAATAATAATATATTAGCTTTACTTTATTTTCACTATAACTTACAACAAAAAGGACAAACAAATTACGTTTCATTAAAATAAAGAGTTAAAAAATTAGCACTTAAAAATATTGTGAAGTCAAGATATCTCCCACCTAATCAAATTATTAACTCGTGAAAATTATGTTCTGCCTTTGTTCTCCTACATATGAAAGATATGTTTATGTTTTTCCTCCACTTATTAAGGAATTTGATGGATTCCATTAAACGGAAGTTTATCTGTTACCAATCCAAAACTGGACTAAAAACCAGTTACAATTTGAAAGTCAGAAGAAATAATAGATTTTAATTAAGTTAATTTAAATTTAAAAAAACTAATACGCTTTTACATAATTCTCTAACACTTAACGAATAAACTCAAACTCAAATGTTTGAACTTATCAGAAGCTGTATATTTTAAAATTTCAGTGAAAAGTCCATTTTCCCAAAAGTACTTTTAATTTTTTTTAATATTAAACTGTTTAATCCAATTCAATTTCAGTGCTTATTCTGTCATCACCATCTTCCTCACAACACAAAGGCAAAAAGTAAACAGAGGAAGGGGTGGCGAGTCGTGCGGCAGCATTGAGGGCAACCCATCTCTTATTGGGCGTGCTGAACAGTGACAGTATCTCCAGTGATGGCATCTTCAAGGCAGCAACGACGAACGGAACTTGTCGGAGGAGACCAGTGGTGGCTCTCGGGCCCACGATGGCTCACATTTTGGGGTGCGTCAGTGGAGGCTACAGATGCGACTTCGATTTGGATGGTGAACGCGAAGGTGGAACGTCCAAAAGGGTTGGTTTGTTCAATCTAGCAAAAGATCGAAAATGTGTCCGTGTAAAGTTGGACTTGGAAAATGTTGATGAATTTGCATCTGCTCTGCATGTGTGACAATGATTATGATGATGCTGTTTGAGAATTTGGAAGTGTAGAGAAATGGAAGAATGGAGAAGATTTGATGGGTGGATAAGAAAAAAAAAACAGATAAAGAAAAGTTTTCTTTTAAAGGTTAAAAAGTAGTGCTGGATTTTATATAAAAAAATAATTAATTTAAAAAATAAAATTTAACACGTGATAGTCACATGTCATTATATCTGGCAACCTAGGTGGAGTGTCGTTTGTCACATGAAAAAAAATAAAAGAATCAGGATCAAAATGTTTTAAAGTTTCGCACAGAAATCATTTCCAATTTTGTTTGCGTAATAATACTGAAACTAAAATGATATTTAACTATATAAACTATCTTAACGTGCACAAGCCATTACTCAAACAAAATTGTACAAGTCTTGACTTCACACATTCTCCTTTTCAAGACATATTCATGTCTCACCCATATTTCTTCTAAGTGAGCTACAAATGATAGTCGTAAAATCAATGATAATTATAAAGGCCACATGGTCTAATCAAACTCTAGACATAGTTCAGTTACTAGTGTTTCCAAAATCAGAGGTCCCACAACGGAGATTATGATAATGAAAGTGTTTTGTTTTAAAAAAACAAATTCATGCAATGTTCAATTATTCACTTTTAAATACTACGACTGATGAAAAATAATGATTTTTGTTTAGGAGGTCTAACTTAATTGGTTGAAAAGGGTATGTGTGAGTTGTTTTAAACTCCTGAGATGTTAAAAAATTTCTATTCATAGTTATAAATACACCATAGATGAAGAATGGTTATTTTATGCAGACAAACGTTTAAAGTTGTATTGCTTTGCATGATAAGAAATTAAGTTTTCAAGATGCCACAGACTACCAGAACAGTTGCTAGTAAGGAATGCAAAAGAATCATAAAATAACTTGCTAAGTTGCATAATGCTATGGCTAAACAGAACCAGTGTATAAAAAGGTCAAGAAAATTGAAATGTAGAGTTAGAAGATATATAACTTACATGGGAATATTTCTATGGGGAGAATTGGCATGTACAATTAGAATGCAGGGAAAAAGCAATCTAATTTTCCAGTTCACTCCTTATCCAATCTTGTGAACACACCAAAGCTTGGACAGTAGCAGGATTAAGTGAGCTCCAATCACGATCAAGGACCCTTCCACTGTGATTAAAGGCCAGTTCAGGCGCAACCTTTGCCATTGGAATTCCTAAAACATTGCGTGCCATCATGGATAAGACAGGATATCTGGGGGTGTGAACTCTCCACCAGTTCAGTATGTTGAAATCAACATTGCGTGGAAAAAGGGGTTCTTCCAAATACTTGTCTAGATCTGATTTTGTACCTTCACCCTGTGAAGTTTCATGGAGAAATTTATCAAACCCCATCAATCGATCCCTTGAATCCTTTGCAGAACCTTGTAAGAGAAGTGGGCCATTGCCAACTTGCCAGGCCAGACCTTGATCGTGAGATGCTAATGGGGAGCCTATCGAATGTTCATTGTATAGAGCTTTCACACCATCAAAGACCTCTTCAATTCGACTTCCAGACATGCTGCCATAAATTTGTGGATAATAATAATCTACCAACTTCATCTTGAATCGAGGGTCTAACATCGCAGCAACTGCCAACCCTAAACTACATTTCTCCCAGTACTCATCAAACTTGCTTCTCAATCTTGACGCCAAAGAACTGATATACTCATCTGAATTCTTGCACCATTCAATCAAATGCAGCTTAACATCACAGAGCTCAGGGAAATATATGTTTGCAGTTGGATACTTATTCTTAGTGAAAACATTTATAACCTCAACAAAAAGCTTCAAGTAGCTGGTAACTGCTGTGATTCTCTCCCACTCTACATCAGATAAACAGACTTTGTAGGCAGTGTCATTTTCTTGCAAGAGAATTAAAACATCCTTGAATTCCAAGGCAACTTCAAGCATTGAGTATGTGGAATTCCATTGTGATGCATTATCTAGACATAAGCCCTTTTGACTCATGATCCCAACTTCTTTAGCCATCTCATTGAACTTTGCCAGTATAATTTGTGAACTTTTAATGTAACCAATAGTTTCACGAATCTTAATGACTATTTCACTTACAGCTCCCAGAGCATGCTGAACCATAGCATTAATAACATTTGCAGCACATCGTATATCAAATAATTGCCCATTACAATAAAGAAACCTGTTTTGCAGAAGTCTATCACCAATTCTAACGGCAATGTTATCACAGGTAGAGCAACTATCCAGTATCATTGAAAATAGTTTACGGTCTATATCCCAATACATTAGGCAACTCATGATAGCTTCTGAAACCATGTCTTCCGTATGAGAAGGATCAATCCTTATAAAATTTAATATCCTCCTTCTTAACTGCTAGGATTCATCGATGTAATTTGATGTCAAACACAAATACTCTGCATCCCCCACAGCATTCCACACATCAGCACTAAGACTGATTTTCCCAGGCAACTTATCCAACATCTCATTAACTTTTTTTTTCTCTCTCTCATAAATCTCAATACAATCAGCCTCAACCCTATTCAATGACACAAGCTCAAACAATGGCTGCAGATTTTTTACAAATGCTCTGAAACCAACATGCTCAACCATAGCCAATGGATATCCATGTAGAATAATCATCCGAGCAAGGTCAAATCGACTCCGTCTTTGATCAAAGTTACTAGTCCCAGGGTTGACAGAGTCATCTTTCAACTGTGTCTGCTCAAATTTAATATTGACAAGACTAAGGGTATTGTCATCTTTGTTTGCATCTTGATCTATATTGAAATTTGCAATNAGGATCCCAACTTCTTTAGCCATCTCATTGAACTTTGCCAGTATAATTTGTGAACTTTTAATGTAACCAATAGTTTCACGAATCTTAATGACTATTTCACTTACAGCTCCCAGAGCATGCTGAACCATAGCATTAATAACATTTGCAGCACATCGTATATCAAATAATTGCCCATTACAATAAAGAAACCTGTTTTGCAGAAGTCTATCACCAATTCTAACGGCAATGTTATCACAGGTAGAGCAACTATCCAGTATCATTGAAAATAGTTTACGGTCTATATCCCAATACATTAGGCAACTCATGATAGCTTCTGAAACCATGTCTTCCGTATGAGAAGGATCAATCCTTATAAAATTTAATATCCTCCTTCTTAACTGCTAGGATTCATCGATGTAATTTGATGTCAAACACAAATACTCTGCATCCCCCACAGCATTCCACACATCAGCACTAAGACTGATTTTCCCAGGCAACTTATCCAACATCTCATTAACTTTTTTTTTCTCTCTCTCATAAATCTCAATACAATCAGCCTCAACCCTATTCAATGACACAAGCTCAAACAATGGCTGCAGATTTTTTACAAATGCTCTGAAACCAACATGCTCAACCATAGCCAATGGATATCCATGTAGAATAATCATCCGAGCAAGGTCAAATCGACTCCGTCTTTGATCAAAGTTACTAGTCCCAGGGTTGACAGAGTCATCTTTCAACTGTGTCTGCTCAAATTTAATATTGACAAGACTAAGGGTATTGTCATCTTTGTTTGCATCTTGATCTATATTGAAATTTGCAATTGCTAGAGTTCCTTCCTTTCTCTTTTCTCTTGTAGAAATGTACTGTGCTATGCCATGGCTAGACCTTCTCTGACACCGAATCAAATGGTTCCTTAAATGTGATGTTCCACTGGTACTTGAACCACTAAGTTTCTTTTTGCAATGCCTACAAACAGCCACACAGGTGTCGCCTTTTTTAATCCTATCAAAATCATTCCACACCACCGATTTTAACCTACTAGATTTGACAATGACAGCATCAGACATGTCCATTGCATGAACCTGAAAGAAAGCCCCTATCAAATTTAATTCAAACATTTCCATTTACATGGTTAAAATGTACTGTATGCTATGTGATGTGGTGCATGTGTGTTTATAATGATGAAACTGGAAGGAGATTCTAAATCTAAATTGTAAAAAAGTTGTTACTGTATGGAGGTTAGGAATACCTAGTCCAGTTTTCAGAACTAATATTCATATAGAGTTTAAAAAAATATGAATGGATATTATCAGAAGGATTCAGAAAGGGATGGGTTAAGATGAAATACAAGAGGATGGAACAGGGCACAATGTCGCTAAAAGCCTAAAGTTACAAATAAACTCAATATTACAATATTCATGAGTTTCCCAGCATACAATGCTACTAGTTTAAAAGTTTTAAAACCAAAGCTCCAGATACAGTCTAAGTAATCTTCCGTTCAATAAGTGACTAACAAAATAATAGATGCTTAAACTTTTAATCTTGCCTCTAGGCATCATAATGTATCTTAGATCATCAATGGAAGCCTACGTAGTGTAATATTATTTAGTACCAGACACTGTCCTGTCCAAGTTTAAGAGCAGAACGCATAATGGAAAACAATCACATCAAAAAAGCTTATTTCTATTTTAAAAGTTGAAAATAGAAAGACAATGGGTTGTTTGTCACAATTCCACAGAGGTAACAGCTATCCTTTAATAAATTTGATTTTCTAATGGCATCGAAGTCACTATGTATAATCAATAACAAAATGCATCCAGGAATTTCATTCAACTCAATTAATCCAACATCTATCTAATTAATCCTCAACGCAGCAGGGGAGAATGATCCCTTCTCACAATATGAATTCTTCATTCACTAAGGGTAACATACTTGTATAAAATCCAAAGATAAAAATAGAAAGTGAAGAAGATCAGACAAAGTTACACGAGGTCCAAAATTTCATTACTCAGCCCAGATTGATAGAAAATAACATGCAGTAGAATTCAATCTCAAAAATTCAAAACAAATGTAGCAAAAAAATATAAAGCTGGTTGTAAGATCATAGTTTGCTTTGCATTTTGTTGAATATAGTGAATACTATCTAACAAATTTCCCATACCATTCATGATCCATTGCTAGAAAATACTAAAATTAGTCAGAAGCGCTTTTAGTCAGGTACAGGACACTGTTAAAAATAAAATAAAATTAAGAATACAAAACCTAAGATTTAAAAGAACATTGTAAATTTTAAAACTAAGAAACGAGAAATCTTGAGTAAATTTATCTTCAACACTTTGCATCGATTCATCACCGAAATTTCACCATTTTCCAGCAAGCAAACTTCCACCCCTGTCATGAGATCAATTGCGTCTAACACCATGCAACCATACAATTCAACCTATGGCAACAAACTAAACATAATAATAACAAAAAGGGAACACCCAAAAGAACACTTCGACTTTTTAAGTAGTAAGTAACCCATACAAATCGTAGATAAACAAAGGAATGATTTTGAGACAAGTTTGAAACACCCATTAAGAAATTCTGGCTAAATCAACAGAGAATTCCCTGTTACAACCGACAAAACATAAATCAATATTTTATTTACGATATAAAAGATCACGAAGATAAAAAATAAATGTATATATGTAAAAGGAAGAAAACCATGAGAATGGGAGTAATAGAAAAAAAAAAAGAAAGAGACAGCGACACGGTGGATTAATGGGGGGATGGGATTCGGGTTGTAGTGATAAGAAGATTGAAGAGGGTTGAAGAAAAGAAAACCTAATTGGAGGTGGAAGAGGGAAGAAGAAGAAGAGAAGAAAACGAAGAAGAGAAAGACAACGTGGTCAAACTGAGGCAGAAGCGTCCTATTCATCTGCTATTGTGGGACAGTTAAAAGGAACCCCAAATTCATTTATGTAAATACAATTTTTTCATATCTTCTTTGTGTTTTAAGTTCTATCTAAATATGGTGTTGTTTTTATTTTTCGTACCAAATAAATATATGATATATA